ATCTGAGGAAAGGAATACTGAAAAAAATAATTTAAAATATACCCTTTTATAATTCATGTGCTATATCCAAGAAGATAGAATGGACTAAAATATAATGAAAAATCTATGTTGAAGCAATCTATCAGAGTGAAAAAGGCAAAGGCATTAATGAATTCTGGGAAATTGTCCATGTTTTCATCTAGTTACATGTCTTCATTCAACCCTTTATTCATTGACTGATTTAAAAATATTTATCAACTACCTAGTATGTGCCAAGTATTATGTCAGGGAAACAGAATTGACAGTTTCTCCCTCCCTCCAAGAGCTGACATTTCAGAATGGGATGATGAGAGCAGGTATCTAGGGCAGAAAATCCTTTCTGTTATGATATATCAAGATTTTTGAAGTACAAGGAGTCAATGATGTCTTCTTGGATGAAGAAAAAGGTATCCTGAGATCTGAAAAATTAGCAGGAGTATTCAGGTAAGGTGCAAGGTGAGCACTGAAGCAAAGAAGAGGAGGAGAAGTGTGTGCCATGCTAAAGAAAGGAACAGCATGCACCAAGGACAAGAGAGGATAGAAAGTCTAAAATAAAATTAATTCCATTTTATCAGTGTGTTGACCTTGAAAGAGGGTAGGGAATGGTATAGAATGGAGTTGGTAATGTAAGGAGAGAGAAATGCTACAGGGCCCAGTAGGGGTTATAGACAGAAAAATGATGTGTTTAGATCTGGATATTAGGGCAATCACTCAAATTTCAGTGTGAAAAATATATTGACCACAGTGAGAGCAGTTAGGAGACTGATACAGTAACCTAATTGTTACTACAAGTTGTTATTAAGCATTTAATCAGAACATCAGCTGATTACTAATACGATAGCACTCTTTAATAATGTTGAATAGCTATATGTCGCAGAAACTACTGGAGGTGGGGCAGTAGGTAAAGGCTCCAGGTCTGGCTTCAGCAAAACCAACTATAAAAGTGGCTTTACCGGCCAGGCGCTGTGGCTCAAGCCTGTAATCCCAGCACTTTGGGAGGCTGAGGCGGGTGGATCACAAGGTCAAGAGATCGAGACCATCCTGGTCAACATGGTGAAACCCCGTCTCTACTCAAAATACAAAAAAATTAGGTGGGCATGGTGGTGCGTGCCTGTAATCCCAGCTACTCAGGAGGCTGAGGCAGGAGAATTGCCTGAACCCAGGAGGCGGAGGTTGCGGTGAGCCGAGATCGGCCATTGCACTCCAGCCTGGGTAACAAGAGTAAAACTCCGTCTCAAAAAAAAAAAAAAAAAAAAAGTGACTTTACCAAGCAGAATCTCAACTTATTCAGCCATAAAATAAAAATGAAAATATCCGTCACCATATCAAAGTTACACCAGATCATGTAAGTGAATGAACTTTATAAACAAAGAAACTTCATGTAATTATGCATAGCATGGATATTTTTATGGCTTCTGTTTGAATTTTACACATAGATTTTTTTTCCCCAGAGGAAATGTAAATATTTCCAGAAATATTTAAAATAAAATATAAATACTTTAAAATATTTAAAATAAAAATGTTAATACTTTTAATGAGTAAACTCCTACACTGTTACTCTATCTGCACTGTGAGGAAAAGCAACTCTGAGCTTAAGGATCCATTAATAGGGCTTCTGACATGTAGCCACCCTCATAGTAAATATGCACGTTGATGTGCCTTCCTGTGTGTGGGAAGTGTGGGTGTGTATGTATTTCAGAGTTGACGTGTAGAAAGGCCCACAGCTTGAACAACCAACACTTGACTGTTTTGCAAAAACAGTTTCTACAGTTAACCCTGCTGATCTGTTTATAAACCCAAAATAGTGTAAACACACACAGTTGCTCTCATTAATTTTTGATAAGCAATAAGACTTACAAATATTTTACCTCCAAGCATATGCTATCTGCATTTGGCTTCAGCAGCAGGCATATGCTTTGACATATGAAGCTCCATCCTGTACCAAATGCACGACTTGCATCTAAAACAATGGCTGAACTATATGGGCATCTCATTGGCGGAGTGTTTGGGTCACTTATAGTTGGGAAATACACAAATACCTAAATCTGGAGCACTTCAAATTTATGAATATGTATTCTATCCTTTCTTAAAATACTAATAGAAAGTAGTGGATTGAATGTCTACATAGTATAATTTGAGTTTGTGAATTTTCTTTCCTTACAACAAACATTTATCCTTGTGTAACCCCATAGCAATTTAACACACTGGGCACTATCCTGGAAATATAAGTGACAAAGTCATTTGTTGTTGTTTTAAGCAATCTAACCAAATTAAACATCTTTTACATGTCCAGGACAATACTTGCTACAGTGATTTTTTTCTTAAGAGCAGCAAAAGATTTAAATAGCGACTCAGCAGCTGGAGAGTCAAGATTTATACATAAAACAATAAATAAGTCACTATTATATTTGAATATGAAATTTTATATTATTTAGTGAAAACTATTACCATCAATCATGGTTAGACTGTGAATCCTGAAGTTCTTGAAGAGTGGAGGAATATGATAAGGGAGGATAGCATAAGGCAATAATAGCTGACCTACACATAAACCACAGGCAGGCTAAGAACTTCCAAAGAGAGGAGGAAGGCATTGAAAGTGAACCAGTGTGTGAAAGTTGGAATCAGCGTTTGTGCAAATGGCAGTGGGAAAGTTGGTGTTTCCATGCCAGAGTTTTTTGTGGAGGAGAATTCTTCTGAGCTAAAGTTATCTAGAGTCTTGTTATAAGAAAACTGAGTGATAGAGAATGTGAGAATTAATGGGTAGACATCAAAAAGCCATGCCAGTTCTAATTAGGCACCAGTGGGAAATGAGACCAGATTAATGTGTTCAGGGAGGATTCTAGGCAAGAAAGAGACTGAGATAGACAAAATAGAGTATATTTCAGTAATTCAAGTGTGTAGTAATGAGGGTGTAGACTTAAACAGATAACATAATATTCAAAATGAATGAAATAAAGAATCTCACCATTCATATCGGCAAGGATGGCCATTGTCACTGACTTCTCTATGTATTATTCTTTTTTTTTTTCTTCTAAGAAACAGGGTCTACATTGCCTAGACTCATAGCAAACTACTGGCCTCAAGAGATCCTCTTGTGTCATTGGGATTACAGGTGTGAGCCGCCACACCCAGCACTGACTCCCCCTTTTCCTCAATGCCTGCCTCTTCCTCTTCTATCTTTTCTTACTTTACTCCAATAAATGAACACTTACTATATGTCAGTCACTGTGTCAAACTTTTTGTATGAATTATCTCTTGGTCTGCACAACAATTTTAGATGTTTTGTATGACTATTTGTATGTTTAGATGAGTAAACTGGAGCTTAGAGAGGTAAAGTGCTTGGACCCAGTCACCTAGGCAGAGTCAGAATTCAATCCATGTCTGCATAACACTGAAGCCCAAATCCATAACTAATGAGCCATCATCATATCTAACGCCCCACATTAGCACAGAGTGTGCACTTAATCTGTGATTGTTTCTATCTTCTGTTTTCCTTTATTTCACTTTTTAAAATCTTTTAAAATTTAAATCTAAAAGCAAAGTATACACATTAAAAAACCCTCAAGCATTACAGAAGTACACAGAGTACAAAGTTAACATCCTTACTAACCAATGGACTCCTCCCACCAGCAATTTCTATCCCCTGTCTGGAGACAACTGATAATAACCGCTCAAAGTGTAGCTTTCCATATCTTTGTCAAAGATGAAGGCAATCTTTGCTCCAGTAAGAATTTACCCTGTTTTGGATACATTTTGGAATATGAGTCACATCGTCTTCTAATCCCCCTTGGTGTTGGTAGAAGAGTTGGGGGAAAGGAACAGGATACTTAAAAAATATGTTTTATATAGTAGCATAAGTAATAATTTTTAATTTTATCTTCTCACAAAGTTTAAGAACTATAATGAAATAACAAATCTACCCTGTACATTTATGTCAGTTCAACAAATATTTATTTAGAGCCTACAATGATTCAAGTAGTTATATTACAAATGCTTATTAAAGTGTCAATTTTTAAGATGTTCATAGTCTAGCAAAGAAGACAAACATACAAAGAAATGAAAGCAATAAAAGGAATATACACAAGCAACAATAAAGTTTCTTTGAAACCAGATATGTATTATCCTGGTTATCTATTGCTGCATAAGAACAACCACAAATCTCAGTGGCTTTAAATAACTTCTCATCATCTCTCATGGTTTTATGGTTTGGCTATGTTCACCTGGGTGGTTTTGGCTTAGAGCCTTCTATTTGCTGGAGTCAGGTAACAGCTGGGACTGGAGTCATTGAAGACTCAATGGGGCTAGATATCAAATATGGCTTCTTCACTCACACGTCTGACACCTCAATGCCCTGTTAAGTGGTGTCTCCACCTCCCAAAGTAGCCTGGACTTTTTAAATGGATATTCAAAGCTGTGAGAGGCAGGAAGCTGAACTGCTAGGCCCGTTGAAGCCTGTGCCTGTAATAATTACGGCATCATTTCTGCTGTAACTTATTGGCCAAAACAGTCACCGGGCCTGACCAGATTCAAGGGAGAGGAGAAATAAATTTCACCTCTTGACAGAGTCATGACAATGGCAATGTCCAAATGCAAAAGAGCATATGGTGAGAGATATTTTTAGCTGTCTTTGGAAAATACAATCTGCTATAAGTAGTAAAAAAAAAAAAAAAATAGTAATTAAATGTTTTGGGAAGATGCAGCACCATAAGAAGAGCAATAGGTGAACCAAGTTTTGAATAAGAAATTTCAAAGGTAGAAAGGATGAGAATCAGATCAGGAGAAGCATATTCCAGATACAGTAGAGATGTCCATGTATCTAGAGGGCCGAAATTGAAGCACGATATTTCCCTGACCCTTCGCGGACCTCGTGACAGGGCGCCTGGTTTACTCAGCCCACGGCTCTCAACTCCTTATGGGCTGCAGAGCTTGAGCTAATGAGGAAGGAACTGGAGCGCGTGAGTGCTGGAACCAGCGGCTGCTTCGCTGCTGCTGGCAGAAGCAAACTCTGTGCAGGCCCCTGGCAGCTCCGGATGGGGGTGCCTGTGACCTCCTTGGCCCCAGAGGGCGTATTACAGTGGTCTTTTAGCTCTGCCATTCGTGGTTGGCTTGTGTTAACAGTTCAGTGAGCCCTTTGCCTTGTCGCATGGGGCGGCTGCCCTCCGCCAGCGAGGAAAAAGGGCTAGTGTGACAGCCTTTTGTATCTGCACTTGTGGTTCCAAAGTTCTCGTCTGCAGGAAAAATGAGGTCGCAAGAACGAACTGAAGAATGGTAAATGTGGGGATTTTATTGCCAATGAAAGCAGCTTTCAGCGGGAAGGGGAGCTGAAAAAAGGATGAGACTGGTAGGTAATGTTTCCCTGAAGTCCGGCGATCTCCTGCCAGATTCTTCTCCTCCATCAAGCTGTCCCTCTGAAGTTAGGCCACTTCTCTCAGACGTCTGGCCATAGTCCTGATGCTGCATCTCTGCCGGCTGAGACTGGGGAGGTCTTTATAGGCACAGGATGGTGGAGGGTGGGGTGGGCCGCGGGTAGATTAAGAAAAGGCAACATTCGAGGGGGGAAAACCGGGACGTATTTCTCACTTTGGGCGGTGGTTTCAGGCTTTTCGGCTTGAGGGTGGGGTTTTGCCGGGAACCTGTCCTTTTCTGTCGAGAATTTCTCTGCCCCTTGTCCTTATTAAAAGTACATGCTGGGTGTCATATATATATACACACACGCAAACACACACACACATATGCATACATATATGTATATATACACACACATATACAAAAATATATGACATGTATGTATATAATCATGTTTTATAATATGATTATATACATATACATAATCATATATACATATAATCATATATATGTATATAATCATATGATTGTAAAACACAAAGCCAGAGCTTTGGCAAATGAGACTGGAGAGTCAGACACAGATGGAATAGTGAAGTTATAATTATATATATATATATATAATTATATATAGATTATAAAGTTATAATTATATCTATTATATAATTCTCAATTATAACTATGTGAGCTTACTATCTACCTGTCATAGTATCTCATTTTAATATTTTTAACAACTCAGTAAGGTAGGTACCATTTTCAGCCCCTTTGACAGCTGAGGACGTAGACATAGAGGGACAATATAACTTTCCCAAGGTCAACCATTTTCAGTGGGGACCAAATGTGAAGAAGAGAGAATGAAATTTTAAAAACCTAGTAGCAGAATCAGAATGTTCCTTTTTAGCTTCTACATTTTTAAAAGAGAGGACATATTTGTATGTATGTAATATCTAGGGAACCAAAACATTTATTTATAGTGATAATGACTTTTTAAAAAACATTATCTTTCAATTTAATTATTTTAAATTTTCTCTGAGTATGAGGCTCACAGGTTGTTTGAAATAAAATTTATTCAGAACTACAAGTCATCATTTGCTTAGACAGAGAGACGAATTAGACTTCTTATCAGTCAGATAAAAAAACAGCTGACAGATCATCTTTGCAGGAAGCATCAGACCTCCAAGCTTGCCTTCTGTTTGTTGGCAACCCTACAAAACACTTCTGTGCTTCTGCATAGTAGTTTCATCTATTCAACCTACCCTGGTATGCAGGGAACCTATTTAGGCCTCCAAGCATATGCAGTCTAGAGGAGATGAATCTGAATGTGCAGACCTGGGTGCAAAGTAATAGGAGACTTGAGAGTATGAGTTTCTACAAAGCAATGCATTGTTATTTTTTTCTCTCTTTCTTCAGCTGTTATTTTGTATCCTGTTGTGATAACAGAACGCACTTTGGTCATAGCGGGAATAAAGCTTCAGGAGACATATCTACTGAAAAAAAAAGATGGAAAGAATAAAAGAAAAAAGGATCTGGGCTAACAACCAGCGTTCATGAGGTAAATACTTCTCTTTTACACTTTGAGACATATTGTGTGGGACAAATTGAAACAACATGATCAAAAACCTTTCATACTCACAACAGGAAGCCCTAGGCTAGAGGGGGAATTCTTGTGAACTCCTTGGGCAGATACCGTTTGAGGGGTCCCCTTAAATACTTTGTCGCTTCTCAGTGAACTCATGTCCATTATGTACTGGGGAAGAAATCTGTGGGAAACTTGATGTGTCATTTTCACTTAACCTCCAGCCGTTTCATGAGCCCTTTAACAGATACTGCACCCGTAAGAGTTAGCTGGAAGGTGGGTTTTCCTTCAAAACAGCTTGGAAACTATGGGAATAAAACTGGCAAAAAATTCCTCACTTGATTGAAAGGATTAAAAAAAAAACTTCCTTTTTCATTTTCCCCCTTTTCCACTGGTTTTATTCTAATCAGATGGATTCAGTGCCCGGAACAAAACAAAGAAAGTACAATTGTATGTTTATTTTTAATAATGGGAAATGTATTATGGGAGATGTGGAGGAAGTAATTTACTTAGATCTAATATTTGGGGTTCTAACTTGATCCTTGGGAGAAAGAAGCCTTAACCTAATTAGCAACTGCCTTCTGAGCAAGGTGGAGCGCTACATGAGGGAGGAAATACAAAACATTTTCGTTGGCCGCATTCTCTTTTCTTAAAGACCTTGGTTCACATGAATAATTTATGTAGGCCAAAGGAAACAAAATCCTCCTCCTTCCCTGAGGTCAGGAAAACTGAATTACTTTAAGATTATTTAGTGTTATTATTATCATTTCTGGGTCACTCAAGCCACAGACCTGCATTTTTAGCAGTAAGATATAATTCCCAGTTTTACTCTGTTTTTCTTTGTGTTGAACAAGCCATGCAAAATGTTGGGATCTGTTTTAGAGGTTGGAGTGGAGCAGATCCAGGGGCCAGAAGCCAAAATAGCCACAGAAAAAATGTCAGAACTAACTTGAAGGCAATTCATGGTCATGTTTTTAGCAGTTCTGGGCATATTGTTTGTAGTGTTTCTCTCATGTCAAGGTTTTATGAAAGAGTTAATTACCTGTGTTGATGCAAGACATAGCAACATGTGATATAGACCCAAGGCAGCAGAAAGAACTGGCAGAAAAAAAGGCAAGGAAGAGAAGATCTCATGTATGAGCTCAGATACAGTCCCAAGGGGAAATTGGAGAGGACAGCATAATCTGGACCAGAATAAAGCTGTCTAACCGTACCAAGTGAAGCTTGAATAAGGAGGCTACATGTCTGGTGTTAATCTTATGCTCAACGGTAAGTGTAATCATTTGGCACACTGTGTAGGGGCCATAGGCTCTTCCAAAACCTCACTCTAGGCTAGGGAGTTTCCATCAGATATCTCATTCTCTTTGAGCCCAGAGTGGCCAATCATGCAAGCAGTCAGTGTAGGCAAAAAGTGACAGACAGACATTCACAAGATTACAGTGAAAGTTCCGGCTAAATACTACGTTAAGGGATAGTTATCAATCCCTAGTTTTAATGCTGTTAGACACATTTGAAGCAGGGGAAGTATTTCACAGCCAAAAGTATAACTTTCTTCTTACAAATCCCAGTTTTATTCTGTTGAGCAGAGATCAAAGGAAAAACATTTGAATTTTTCCACCTACATTTCTGGTCAAGCACTATCAGCTTTTATAACTGGATTTGACAACCACTCTAAAAATAAGCAAAATAAAAATAAATAAACTTTGAGAACTTAGTTGGATATATTCTCAGAGGGAATTCTGTAACCACCTCAAATCTGGCTGTTTGCCACTCTGAGATTGAAAACAAAAGAGGTTAGGTGTGGTGAAAGAAAAGTTTTATTAAGTGAAGGCTAGAAGTCGGGAAATGGCCAGGTTTCTGCCCTTAAAAACCATTTCCAATTTTTGGGCAGAGCTAAGGGATTTAAGAAGGAAACAGGTAGGAGTGATCCGGGAGGGTGTAGGTCTGCATGTCCTATTCTTATGAATAATCTTATGCATGTCTTCTTATTTGAATGATCTCTCATCTGAAGGTTTGGTTGGAATCACCTTGACTTTGGCCAGATTGTGCTGGACTAATTGTTTGTGACTCCTCCTAAGTGGGAGGATCCTGCAGCTGGCTCTCTGTCCTGGTTTGTTTCTAAATTGGCCCCTGGAATTTCTAAGCAAGCACATAATTAAATAAGTGAGCACTTTGCATAGGAGTTCTCGGCCAGAAAGAAAGGGAAGCAAACAGTTCTAAAGTATACAAGGCTAAATTCTGAGATTAAGAAGGAAAGGAAAAAAAAGTTTCAAAATGCATTTTGAAGCTAAGCTACTCAGTTACAATTCCAGTAAGTAGAGAAGGAATGAGAAGGAATGGTGCCTCTGATGAATGGTGCTCCAGGTCAAGAACATCCTCCATAATAAAGCTGTCTGTTGAAGTGAGGGAACTGAAAGCATCCACAGGCCAATCACAGACCCCATCAAATTGGCGGTCACTTGAGAAACACCTAAGCACTCAAGATTGCTTATTTTCACAGCTTTGAAGGTGACTCAGCTCCTCATATATAATAAGCCTAAACAACTAGGCCCTCTTGTGACCAGTCTGTGTGGGTTGATGGAGTGTCAGAGTGTCAGAGACACTCCATAACAAAGAGCTGAAAGGAAGTCACCACACACAGGCTTAAGGAGTATAGAAAATGCTTTCCAACATCTGGGAATCCTATAATTGGAGCTGGAAAAACAGAAACTTTGCGATGACCAGGCTGGGATATAATTTCCACAAATTGGAAGTTTTTTGGAAGCAGCGGTTCAGAAGAAGGTAAAGAGGCCATGCCATAGATGATATTAATCATGACAAGTGGCCTTTGTCACAAGAGAATAAAGGACTGGACAACTATCTACATGTGTGTGTCTGAAGTCATATAAACCTTATATGCGTCATTCCTAAATACCTTTGTATTCATTTCTACAAAAGATATTTATTGGGAAGTTATGATAAACCTGGTTAAAGTACTGAAAACTATGAGACACATAAAGTAATCAAGGTCAATTTCAGAAGAAATAAAACCTCCTTTTTCTAATGTTTCACTGAGAATCTTAACCTCTGACTTAAATTGCTCTTGAAAGAGGATCATGAATAAAATTTAAACTTGACTGGAACAAAATGTAGGCTGTGAATTGTGTATTTTGGCAGAGAAAATCACCTTTACCCCAAAGAATATTTGCACCCTCCCAAAAGTTATTATTAACTGGAAAACTTAAACATGATATGAATCATTTTTTCAATTAAAAAATAAAAACCTACTGAATTTTTCTTATCCTGCTTCTCTCTGATTCTGAACATATTTTTCCTAAAAAACATGTAATGGAGTACCTAGTATATACCTGGTGAAAATAATAAAAACTGTGTGAGATACAGACTGATGTAATCTCTATGCCGGAAGCAAAACATAATTTGTATTTTTAAGGCCTTGATTTCTTCTCCTTTATATTTAGAAAGTACTATTACAGCTTTAAAATGCTTTAATGCATAATTATCATCATTATATTATCATTTGAGGACTTAGTATATACCAGACCCTGTCCTAATTAATTTATGTACATTACTTTTCTTTTCCTTTTTTTTTTGTTTTTGAGACGGAGTTTCGCTCCTGTTACCCAGGCTGGAGTGCAATGGCGCGATCTCGGCTCACTGCAACCTCCGTCTCCTGGGTTCAGGCAATTCTCCTGCCTCAGCCTCCTGAGTAGCCGGGATTACAGGCACGCGCCACCATGCCCAGCTAATTTTTTGTATTTTTAGTAGAGACGGGGTTTCACCAAGTTGACCAGGATGGTCTCGATCTCTTGACCTCATGATCCACCTGCCTTGGCCTCCCAAAGTGCTGGGATTATAGGCGTGAGCCACTATGCCTGGCCTATGTACATTACTTTTCTAAATGCACATGACCATTCCTTGAGTAGTTACTATTAGTATCCCCAATTTTCTGACACAAATTTTTAAAAAGTTGAGATCCAGAAAAGGATTAAAGCAGCATAATACTGTAGGCAAGAGCGGTAATCCAGTTCTCTTTTTCTACCTATCCCAGCTTCCAGAAATTACTGATACATTTAGTCAGTTAAGATAAATCATGAAAACGATGCTTGTTCACTTGGGAACTTTTCCAATCCTTAAAGGCTAAAAGAGGTCCTGTCTGGCTAAGAGTAAACTTTTATTAACACGAAAACATGTATTAAAGATGTCAAAACTACATTGAGATACCATCTCATGCCAGTTAGAATGGCGATCATTAAAAAATCTGGAGACAACAGATGCTGGAGAGGATGTGGAGAAAAAGGAACACTTTTACACTGCTGGTGGGAGTGTAAATTAGTTCAACCATTGTGGAAGACAGTGTGGCGATTCCTCAAGGACCTAGAAATAGAAATTCCATTTGACCCAGCAATCCCATTACTGGGTATATATCCAAAGGACTATAAATTGTTCTAGTATAAGGACACATGCACACGAATGTTCATTGCAGCACTGTTTACAATAGCAAAGACCTGGAACCAACCCAAATGCCCATCAATGATAGACTGGATTGGGAAAATGTGGCACATATACACCATGGAATATTATGCAGCAATCAAAAATGATGAGTTCGTGTCCTTTGTAGGGACATGGATGAATCTGGAGAACATCATTCTCAGCAAACTGACACAGAACAGATAATGAAATAACACATGTTCTCACTCATAGGCAGGTGAAGAACAATGAGAACACATGGACACAGGGAGGGGAGCACTACACACTGGGGTCTATTGAGGGGAATAGGAGAGGGACAGCGCAGCTGAGGGGAGCTGGGGAGGGATAGCATGGGGAGAAATGCCAGATGTGGGTGAAGGGGAGGAAGGCAGCAAATCACACTGCCACGTGTGTACCTATGCAACTATCTTGCATGTTCTGCACATGTACCCAAAAACCTAAAATACAATTAAAAAAAATAAATAAAGATGAAAACCACTATTTATTGCCTTAACTATTGTGGTTGCCAGCCACTGGTTTTCTGAGTTCACTCAGGACATACATTTTAGTCACTCATCTAATACTTAGCAGAGGATTACTCATTTATTCATACAGAGAGCCGAGAGAATCAAATATATTCAAGCCATAACCTTCTTGAGGTCTAAACAATGTCAGCTTCTAGGCACATGAACACAAGTCATTTATGATTCATTTCTACATATTTTTAAACAACAACTAAAATTATGCTCACTCTTTCAATAAATATTGAGTTATTGCTTTGTACCAGGCAATCTACTATGAGTTAGCACTTTAGTGATAAATAAGATAACATTTCTATTCAAGAAGAAGAGAATTTCGGAAAAGGAAAACAGGAAAACCAAAGACCCTGAAGCAGAAATAAGTTTTATATGAAACAAAACAAAACAGAGAGGAAGTGACTGTGGAAGCAGGGAGACAAATTAGGAGGTGGTTACAGTTATTAAGAGAAACACTTGGTGGCTTCAACTGTAGCAAGAGGAATAGTGAGATCTGAACACATTTTTCAAAATTAAACTAATGTGATTGGCTGATATCAGTGTAAAGGTAACTCCTGGGTTTTTAGGAGCTTGGCAGAAGCTGTCATTTGCTAAGAAAAGAAGCAGGTTTCCTATGGGATAAAATAAATCAACAGTTCTCTGTGAGCCATGTTAAGTATGAGATGTCCGTTGCAGTAGAAATGTCACACAGGCTTTTGGATCTATTACCCTAGTGCTCAAGAATCAAGTCCGGGCTACAATGTGCTACATGCTAAAGACACAGCCTAAGTATGTTCTCTGTTCTCAAGGGCCCTGAATCCAGTGTGCTTTGTTGGAAATGATCTTTGCTGTTGGTAACCAAGCTCTTGTTTATTTCTCCACTAGTTACTTATCTTTATAAGGGCAGGGATCTTATTTTACACATCTCTGAAACTCTACTGTTTAACATATAGAAGATACGTATTATATTTTTGTTAAGGTGGGCTGCATATAATCAGCCCAAACAGAAAACTACTGGACTGAGACATTGACAAATGCATATAAGGAGGAAAATGATATAAGGTTTGGCTTCTTCTTTTCAGGAGATTAAACTTGAGATGAGGCAAGAGAATACATTCTTCAAAAACTGGAATTTAAGAGAGTATATAATGAATGCCAAATATATATAAATAAAAGATTTGTAGAAGATAAATGGAGAGGAAGATATTTGAAGTTTGTGTGACTAGGAAAAGCGTCAATGAGTCATAAGTCTAGACTTGGTTTTGGGGACATAGGTAGGAATCAGAGGATTGTTGAGAAATTTGCATGATAACATATACCAAATCATATTCTTACAAAGGTAGACAGTGTAGGATATTAATTTGAACAACTAACAAAATGGAACTGATTGAGCTAGGCTATATGGTATTAAAGAAATATTTAGAATTTGTCATATATACAAGACCACTTGGTGGAGGGCTCTTCAACCAAGTTTTGTGGAATGAGGTCTTAGAATACACCAACTCACTATCTCAACTTCGGTAGAATAAACCTCAATGATGCAATAGAGAAGTAGACATTGCCAAAATGCCAGGAATCTAGTTACTTTATAAAATCATCCTCACACCCACAGACTTCTACTATCAGGTATATCACTTCCCTCAATGCCAGAAATGCCATCATTAAAGGATCATTCCTTTAAGCCTAGAGTGCACATTTGTCTTTCATTAGAATCTACACTCTAATGCATTCGGCTCTAATGTTTTACGGGACATACACTGATGGTTGTAAAATATTCAGCATAAGATGGCTAAGTAGACTTCTACATTTGAGAGGAAAGTTGAAAAAGGTGTCCAGGAAACTAGACAGCTCCATTTTGCTCTGGGATTAATATCTTGTCCTCCCCTCTGAGTTCTATAAAAATATCCTCTCACAATCAAAGAGAAAATTTCCTTTCAAAAATGCAACATGTTATCTAAATAGTGTTCATATTATATTTTAAGAAAATCCTTTTTTTTAATCACTTCATTTGTTTTTAAGATATTTGTTAAAAGAGTGGAAAACAAATAATAGATTTCTTCCTGCAGCATTAAAAAAAAAAGAAACAAAAAAACGTAACTGTCCCTGAACAGTGGTTGTCCATATCAGAATACTGGATGCTGTTCCTTTTCCCTTGACTAAGAATTCTGTCTATTCTCCTTTCACTGTCTGGCTTTTACTTCCATATCTGCCTCCCTAGTGTCTTGCAGAATCATTAAAAATATTCACTAAGGAAACTTGCTGACTCCGCTCTTCACACCTGAAATGTCAGAGCTAAAACAGAGAGCTTTTGAAATGACATTAGAGGCACAAGACAAATTGAGTGCTGGCCACCTCTTGTCCCCTAAAGCCATCCATTGCATATGTCCCACAGCTTCCACACTATTGATTATTTCCTCAAGTTCTAGACTGGTGTCAAAAATGTATAGCTGACTAATCAAGAGCTCACTTTCAAAAGGATAAAGATTTGGGGAGCTGGAAAGCTGAGTAGGAAGCCCCCTCCAATGAGAACAATGGAAGAAGTATCCAATTTTGTTGGTTGCTTTCACTGAAGCTTTGCACATTTACAGACTATTTTAGCTGTGCGGGGTTATGTTATGTGGTTGCTGACCACCTCTGGAACATTGGTACAAGTATAATCTCTCTTCCATTCAATTTAGCAAAGACAGGTATTTGTTATGCAATTTTTTTTCTTATTTGTGGTAAAAGTCCTACTTTTATTTTCCCCTAGTACTCTGCAATTAAGCCTTTCTGAGTGTTGTCACAGATTTTGGGTGTCTGTTCATATGCTTGTATTCTTTACTAGACTAGAAACTCCATGAAGGCAGAAACTGGGTTGTATTTGCTCACCATTTGTACCTAGCAGTAAATATATAGGCGAACATGCATTCAGTGAAAGTAATCATTGCTGGAAGCATGAAACAATGAATGTCATCACAACCACAAGGGCGAATAAGGGCCCATCTCTGTTTCTACACAGGATTTAGCCTAATGGAGCAGACAGCCACTCAAAAACATATTCTGTCATTTTATTAGAAGCTTTTGTCCTCATTCCATTTTTGAGTTTGGAGTCTTGATTAAGGGATTCCTATGTAAGTATACACACTTTCTTACACAGCTGCCTTTCCTGGTCATTAATATATTTTCTTGCTTAAAAATTACCTGCTTTCAAGCAATGATGGTGAGATGGCTGAAAGGAAGCCCTACGTCCATGCTACCCTGTGGAGACACTGACTTAACAATAACATACAGACCAAATTACCTTTATGAAAACTCCAGAAACCAATTAAGAGGTTGCAGCCCAGAGAAGAGCACAAAGCCACAAAGAACTGCATAGAAATGGGC